CAATGTAAATTTTTCAATTTTTGTTTCTCTGCCATTAGTATACGGTAAACCACACAGCGATCCAAAAAGAAATAACATTAAACAAACCAAAAGATAAAAGACAAATGTTAAAAATCTAAAATGGGTATGTTAACACAAAAGATTAAAATGGTATGTCATAGTCTATTATATAGACCAACATATTTCAGGTAATGTAGAATTTTACAAATCTCGACAGTTTCGAAAGGGATTTTAGACATGTAATGTTACGAGTGTAAGATTAACAGCAGTTGCCTGGAGGTCTGTATTTAATGTTATATTTCTGTGAGGAACTTGGTTGTCAACCAGGATAGCAACTCCACCGGTTGCTTTCTTGTAAACAGGACCGAAGCAGTTAAACAAAGAATATTTTCTGAAACTGTAACGGTTCTGGTGAGCGTTTCTTGGAGATAGATTACACTAGGGTTACATTCTTGCGACAGTCGAAAGAATTCCATCAATATTGGATCAAAGACCACTACAATTCAATTGGATTATTGTATCCATTATAACTAACCAAAAAAAAAAAGAGATTAGGGGACCATTGACAATTAGCCAGACTTCTTATTTAACCTAAGGTGGTTTGACATCTTTAATAGAGATCTTGGAGGATCTGGAAGTAGCTACCTGGTACTCTATATCCCCAGAGAACCGAATTTGTTGAAGGTGTGAATTGGGTACTCGAAGCCTTTTTTTCCTTCTGAGGAAATTTAAATTTTCTGCTTGGGCTGATTTTGGAGTGCTGGGAGCAGGTTTTGGGGATTGAGGGTTTTCATTGTGTTTTGATGGTGATTATGGTGGTCGCGATGACTGTGTTGAAGAAATCTTTGATGTAGCAGGCTGAAGGCCAGAAAGATTGTCGCACCCCATGTCAGTCTGTGTAGCTGCATGACATGTCTGTGTAGCAGCATCACGGGTCTCCGCGGTCGAAAAACCAACCCTTTCAGGACGGCATAGAATGGACCCGACACAGGTTTTTCAACAATCTTTCTTGTTTCGGGAAAAGTATACTTGACGCGAAGGATTTCTTTTTCCTTGCGCAAAGCAGAGCAAATTCTGGAATATGCTGGATGCCTTCCATCACAGTTCACACAGTGAGTTCGACTTTCACAGGCACCATCTGCCGACCCATCTTCATGGCTCACAATTCCACATTTAGCACAAACTTTCTGTTTTTTACAGTTTTCCGAACAATGACAAAATTTCTGGCAACCAAAGCGTCACAGTGGATTTGGGATGTAAACATCCAAAACCATCACTCTCGAAGCCAACTGTTACACGTTTCGGTAAAATTGGGTTGTTAAAGGTAAGAATGAAAATATTGGTGTCATGGATACTGCCATCTCGCTTCACCCTGATCCGTTAAACGTGGTTGACCTTCTGTTTTTCCTTTAAGTAACAGAGTGTTCTCCTCACTCTCCCTGAAGAAATGGACAGCGTATAACTCCTTTTGTTGTGTTCAGGGTGGAATGACGGACAACCTGCACAGCCATCTCGATAAACTTTGTCATTCGTAAGAGGATCTAGGCCTGTTGCTGGCGGATACCCTCTACAAAATGTTCGCCAGATCACATTTTTTTCCAACTCTTTAGAGTACCGCATGTTGACTGGATAGTCTTTTCAATTACGAATGGTGAAACGATGACATTGGTTTATCCCTTTCAAACAATCGTATGACGATGGACTGGTTGAAATCATGGTCATCCTCCGAGTCTGATGATAAAAGACAAGGTCGTTTAGTTTTGAGTTTTTTGTGCCCATAGTTTGGCGTATATATTTTCATAATCGTGCTCCTCGCCCACTTATACCCTGCGGATAGGGGTTAGAATATATCCGCTGTGTCCTACTGCATGTGGTAAAAGTCCACCAAAAGGGACAAGCTGTCTGTCGTTGGTTGCGTCCCGTTAGTACTGGGAGAAAGATCCTGGTGGTCGAGTGGTTGTTACGTGGTTTGCGCTTTATTCTCAAGCATTATCACATGGCCTCCCCCTAATACATCGCTTTGGCCTCTATCTCAGTAAGACGGGTAATCATTGTGGTCCTCAATGATTAATCGGCTGGTCATACCAAGCCCTGGGTCAACTATATGTCCTAAGTGTTTCGTTTTTCCTTTTTATTTTACTCAACCGCATACCTATCTATTTTTGTAGCTTTTATTTTACAGTTGTATCCCAGAAGGCGGTGACTTAAGGATCAATCAAGAGAGTTCTATTCTTTCGAGTATACGACCTGTGTATCCTTGGCACTCGTTTACCGGAGATCCGTACCGTTAGTGGTGTTCCCTTGTTGGGCTCCGAGGTGGGTGATGAGCACGGTTAATGAAAATCTATACACCTAACTATGGGCACAAAAACAAAAAACAAAACGACATTGTCTTTCATCATCAGACTCCGAAGATGACCATGATTTCAACCAGTTCATCGTCATACGATCGTAGGAAAAGGATAAAACAATATCATCCGTTTCACCATTTGTTATTGAAAAAACAATCCTATCGACATGCGGTACTCAAAAGAGTGTTAAAAAACTACGGTCTGGCGAACTCCTTGTAGAAGTTATCCGCCAGCAACAGGCCAGAACTTCTCAGGAATGACAAAGTTTTTCGAAACAGCTGTACAGGTTGTCGCTCACTCCTCCCTGAACAGATCAAAGGGCGTTATACACTGTCCATCTCTTCAGGGAGAGAGCGAGGAGAACATCCTCAGTTATTTCAAGTAAAAACAACAAAGTCAACCATGTTAAACGAATCGGGGTGAAGCGAGATGGCAGCATCCGTAACATCAACACTTTCGTTCTTACTTTTAACACCCCGATTTTACCAAAACGTGTCAAGGTTGGCTTCGAAAGCATTAGTGTGGATGTTTACATCCCAAATTAACTGCGATGTTTTGGTTGTCAGAAATCTGGTCATCATTCTGGTAACTGCAAGAAACAGAAAGTTTGTGCAAAGTGCAAAATGTAGAGTTGTAGGCCACGAAGACGGGTCGGTAAATGGTGCTTGTGATGGTCGAGCTCACTGTACGAAGTGTGGTTGAAGGCATCCATCATATTCAAGATATTGCCCTGCTTGGCACATGGGAAAACAGATCCTCCGCGTCAAGTACACAAACAACATTACTATCCCCGAAGCAAGAAAGATTGTTGAAATACCTATGTCGGGTCCATCCTATGCCAGTCGTGAAAAGGTTGGTATTGCGACCGTGGAGACCCGTGATGCTGCTTCACAATCATGTGATACAGCTACACAGACTGACATGGCGTGCGACAATCTTTCTGGCCTTCGGCCTGCTACATCAAAGCTTTCTTCAACACAGTCATCGCGACCACCATAATCACCATCAAAACCTGCTCCCAGCACTCCAAAATCAGCCCAAGCAGAAAATTAAACTTTCCTCAGATAGAAGGAAAAAGGCTTTCGAGTACCCAATTCACACCTTCAACAAAATCGACTTTCTGGAGGATATGAAGTACCAGGTACCTAATTCAAAGATCTCTATCAAAGCTGTCAAACCACCTTCGGTGAAATATTGCTATCATTTTTATTATTATTACATTTTTAACGGCCCGTCAACACATAAGAGGTCATTAGGGACATCAAACGGTAAAACAAACAACGATCCAAAAGGAAATAACATTAAACAAACCAAAAGATAAAAGACAAATGTTTAAAATCTTAAATGGGTATGTTAGCACAAAAGATTAAAATGGTACGTCATAGTCTATTATATAGACCAACATCTTTCAGGTAATGTAGAATTTTACAAATCTCAACAGTTTCAGAAAGGGATTTTAGACATGTAATGTTACGATAAAAACGTTCGAGCAGACAGAAGGTCAATGCAGTCCAATATAATATGTTAAACGGTGAATGGCTCACCACATCCTACATAAATGTATGCACAAAGGATTATCTTCGCCTTTCAACAAATTTGTTTCAAAGGAAAAAATCACAGATTTTTCTTTGAAATTTAAAGTGAAATCAATTCAATTTTATTAAAAGTATATTTTAAAGTAATCGAAAAAGAAAAGGATTACAATTCATTTAATGAAACTTATTTATTTCTTTATTCTCAAAGTTTGTTCTAATTCCAATTAAAACTCTTCTACAATTAGCTCAAAGTGACGCTGTATCTAGTTAAGCTTTAAAGAAAATAACTCGGTAGATTCTTAGAATAAGACATCCCTACTTATATAATTTTTCTGAGAACATACAATACAAATAGTATGGTGTAGTCCTGTTTGTCCCAAAAGTGGTAACACAGGTGAAAAATAATTTGGGACAAACAGGAATTGTGTATGTAAGCCAGTAATGGCAAAGAAAACAACAGGTAATTATGCTCATTAGACATTTTATTTGAAATACAGGTACCAGGTGAAATCCAGGTAAATCCAGGTGAATAAGTCATTACAAGCATAGCACAAATTAGATAGTCTCCATTACTCAACACTTACACATCCATTGCACTATTTGTTACTTTAAAATGGTCATAATAAGCACTGAAAAATATTTGTTTTAAATCAAATAGCATGTACATTTTTAGCCTATATAAGTTATATAATAGCCTATATAAGTTATATAATAGCCTATATAAGTTATATAATAGCCTATATAAGTTATATAATGTTGACAATAACTATGTTTTAAACCATATTGATATATCATAACAACACATTTACAAGATATATACAAATAGTATTTCTGTTCCATATTGTTTCCAATTAATAAAAAATCTTAGCACTAATGTCACTTTAAGAAGAGGCAGCTTTTATAAACACTAATACACTATTTTTTGTTACTGTAAAATGGTTCCAATAAGCACTGTTCTCTTTGTACACTATAAGGTGATTCCATTTTGTATCACACTTGAACACTACAAGATAATTCCATTTAGCACGAAGACACACTAAACACTGTAAGATGGTCCATTAAACACTTTGAGATAGTTCTAAGAATAACACTGTTGGATATATTCACAGTTTTATCACTCCATATGCAATAGATATGTGGCTCTGTCTCCATAATTGATGAAGTTGATCTCGTCGTTCTGTAGGAGAGTCTTCAATTGGATCAGGCGGTCATCCAGGTTCCAATAGCGTCGTCTCTTTAGCACAGGTAAACCTCCAGCAGCACGTTGAATCCGGTTGATGTCATTGGCAGCTTGGATGTCTTTCAGTACACGGATGAACAGATAGATGTTTGGGTGCGCATGTGGAATCCTCTTCTTGAGTTTGCTGTGCCATCCTTCAAGATTGTTGGTAGTCCTCGGCCCGTCGTTGTCGAAGTGGTTCCAAACATGTCGGTCTCCTTCTATCCATTGGGTTGTGACATAGTCGGTGAATGGTGTTGTATCCACTGGTAGGTCGACATCTTCAAGGTCATCCATTGCGTTGAACCAGTAGTCCTCAATGCGTTGTGGAGGTATAAGTGGGAGAACAGCTGCATGTCTAACAAGTCTGTGGATATCCTCGTTGTCTCTGTAGTAGGTATGGAGTCCGAGTTGTTGCGTCTTTCTCCAAATGCACTGCGTGAAGTGGAAGAAGCACCCTTTCACTGTAATTCCCTGGGATATGGATTTGGCGGCGTTCTGGGCGGCAGATTCAAAGTCCATGAATATCACTGTCGGGTTCAGTTGAAGTTGTCGTTCTTTCATTGTAGACTTCTCCAAGAATCTGGTGTAAAGGAGCTGTGACTTCCCTGGTAAGAGTGTAAATACAAGTGGGTGCATCTGGTTGTCTATCATGGCATGGATGGTGTATAGTTGACTGAAGAACCTCGGACAAGTGTAGAATGTTCCGTCGCAATACAGAGTGGTAGCTGTTGACAGGATCTCTAGGTTACTGGTAGTGGCAAAGGCTAAAATCCTCGAGTTGTCTCTGTTGTCATCGAATAGTACAAACTGGTCCCCTGTGTTGGTGAGCGTCCATTCGTTCTCTAGTGTGATATCTGCCACTGAAGTCGGTAGTTTGGGTAGTAGCTTCGCTCTGCTGTGGTAGAGGGATGTCTTGCAGGAGGGATAGGTTGGTATCTGTTCCACCATTCGTCGTTTGTCATCTGTCCAATCTAATGTCTGTAAGTGGGCGATTTCTTCGTCGTAGATGGCGGGTACGGCTTTAAGTTCTTCTCTGCATCTCTTCTTTATACTATTCATGACCTTCTTTACTTCTACTTGAAATCGGTTGGGTCACTGGAATGTCATCTCTGGTGTTGATGGTTGCTGGACAGTCTCTAATGCAGCATCTCCAATAGGTTGTATCTCGGTAGTTGTTCTTCACTATATAACTAAATCCGGCTTGATGTAGAGTCCGACCACCACGCTTGTTGGTTGTGAATTCAACTTGAACTTGGTAGTTTGCCATAGTTGCAACGATAATGTCCATTTTCAACTCTTGTGATATATATGTACTTCCGTTAAGCTTGGGTATTCACTATTTCCACTCAGCAGGATGACATGTATCTTGGGTATTCATCTCAAACTCACTTTGGTGTTAACTGTTCATATTCAAATCTTTCATAGTTGTTCTCTTAATTACTCATTTAAAAACCTTCATTGTCTTAATTGGTTTTTATGAGATCCATGATATGTATTTTCTTAATTAATCTTTAAAATAGATTAATTATGAGTTTGAGTTCAGAATAAGTTTCTATAAAATAATGATCACAAACCCATTTAATAGTACGATAATTTCAGATGAAATGTTTAAGAGAAAACAAAATGCTTAAAATAATATTATCTATCTGTTTATTATTTTTTTTTAACTGAAATACACACACATATCACATTTTTTACAAAATACCACATACTAATTTACCTGTATGAATTTTGGGACAACTTCCTTTACCTGTTAAAACAACACTGCAGTACCTTACTGTTATAACAACACACAGGATTTCGGGACAAACAGGATTTATAAATTTTCAGTTTTGGGACAAACAGGATTAAACCAATAGTATTACCAGACTAATTGCTCAAAACATCTTTCTTTTATGTTCTCACTCAACAAAATGTCTTTGTACTGGAGTCATATCAAACAACATATTGTCCAAGATACATTAGCAAATGCCATTGAGTAAATACGGTCAGCGCTACATATGCATAGTTGACGTAACAATTCAGATTATTAGAGCTTTAGGTGTCAAACCCACGCGATCACTTTCCCAAATCCCGATCAGGGTCCGACTAATCAAAAGCCTGTAAATTCTGTAATCCGAATGAACTGACCAATCAAAAACTCACGTGGTCAAGACAGTAAGTTTGAACTTATGCATTACTGTCCGAAGTCTTCAATTACAGATCTGCAACAAGAAACCCCAAATATCAACATAATATATGTATGTGTAAGGTATTATGTTCTTTTCACATAACGTAATGTGCCCCACTGGACCGAAAGACGATTAACAGGATTGGACAGAATCGGGCGGTTTATATGTAGAATTTGGGCATTAAATTGTTTTCAACATAATTATTATAGTGTTAAATGATCTCAGTTAAAATACTATCATTTCATATTGATCAAAAACGGCCAAAAAGATATTGTCTTCTTTCCACATAACGTAATGTGCCGCACTGAACCGAAAGACGATTTGCAGGATTGGGCAGAATCGGGCAGTTTATATGTAGAATTTGGGCATTTAATTGTTTTTAGTGTAATTATTGTGGTGTTAAATGATCTCAGTTAAAATATCATAATTTCATATTGACAAAAAAAAACGGCTAAAAAAGATATGTTCTTTTCACATAACGTAATGTGCCCCACTGGACCGAAAGACGATGGACAGGATCGGGCAGAATCGGGTATAGTGCCATTTCAATACCATCATACGTGAAACATTATGATTTGTAGATTCATACTATAATTATTAAATATATCATGGAAAATTGATAATACTTTTTTGTGCTGGATTAACAAGTTTGGTAATCCCCCGAACCCCATCCCCCACAATAGCAGGGAATAGTAACTATACTTGGTAATAATGTTGTCGGCAGTATGTAAAATAAGTCGGGGATATTTTCCTTTGTTTTATCCTTTACTGATATAATGTAGAAAGCAATCTGATATGGTGATAATGTCCTGATAATACTGCTTATAAAGTAACATTATCTGGAATATATCACCGCATTGCCCAGGTCTCTGGATCGTGGATCCTGCTTCTATGGAGACCATTTTTTTTGGTGTGTGTGTGTGTGTGTTTTTTTTTTTTTTTATGTCTATCTGTACCTAAACAACACTCTACAAATGTCATGATAATACTTTGCTAGTCCTTTGACACTGAAGTGGACAAGGTCTGTCGCATATATCGCTGGATATGGAATGCTCATGTTTACTACCCTGTCCTTGAACACCTTGAATAATTTCCTGTCCACTGATGACTGCTGGCGTTTGAAATGTTGCATGGATAAGACACCCCTGAATTTACCCCGCGCCACAATTTCCTGAATTAGAACTGTCTTCACGCCTGACGCTTCCTTAACATATACTAAAAGCTTGAGACTGTCTCCGATATCTGCTGGATATGAGTCGGTTGAAATGTCATTCCCTCCCAAGCAAACAAACACAACGTCAGCCTTAAAATCTAATAGTTCATCAAGGCACTTCCTAAATCTTGGCAGAGAAAACACTTTATTAGCCACCATGTCACCTTCACCAAAAAAACGTACTGTCCCTTCAAACTCAAACGACCCTCGCAAAATCTGCTACGACGTGCAATGTAGCTACTTCCAAATAACGCTATTCTCAACATGACTTCAGTTGTAATTGTGATAAGTATTAAAATCCGTGTTAGACCTAGTATTTGAAATGTGTGGGCTTATACAGCTTTGTTTCTGTGTTAGTTTTGTTGAGTTTTCCCCTCCTTTTTTCCTATTTGTTTACTTTTGTTTTTAATTACAAATACCTATATGTTGGGTTATTTTTCACAGTTTAAAATTGTAAATGGAGGAGTGTCACAAGGCTCAGTTCTTGGTCATCTATTATTTCTTCTCTACATATATTATATTACCTCAAACATAACCACTAATATTTAACTATTTGCTGATGGCACATCCCTATACATAATCATAGATGACAACCCAGCACAGGCAACACAATCTCTTAACGCAGATCTTTCTAATATAGGTGAATGGGCTAAAATCTGGGATATTAACTTTAATGCTTATAAAACTAACTGTCCTCTTTTCCAGGAAACAGAATATCTCCCATCCCCCACTTTTCTTTCAAAACAGCCAAATAACGGAACAGTCATCACACCAACACTTAGGGCTTACTCTTCAGGAAGATGCAACATGGAAACAACACATTCAAAATATGCATAAAAAAGCAGACAATAGACTCAACATTCTTCGTTATATTAAAAACACTGTAAGTAGAAAATCATTAATTAAAATTTATACAGCATTTATTAGACCTATTATGGAATATGCAGATATATGGGACAATTGTACACAATACGAAAACAATCTTTTAGAATCAATTCAATTAGAAGCTGCAAGAATTATCACAGGTATAAGATCAAGGACATCACATGAAAAATTATATAAAGTACTGGGTTGGGAAACTAGATGTAAGAAGACAAAATCACAAACACATAATGATGTACAAAATTATACATTGTTCCCTTCAAAAATCGGAGCATGAAAGATCTCAGAAGATCAATCATTTCTGAGTGAAGTATATGAACTAAAGGATCCTCTCTCTGAAACAACCTAAAAAACCAATCACACAGAGTAGATAGGCTAAGCAAGAAGTTGATCCGAACCAGAGCTGTGGGAGACTTCAGCATAAGGCAGATCCTATTGTACCTGGCGTTAGTCTCACTAAAATGAAATACATCTAAGAGCAACAAATACCTACACACATATCACGGAAGAATAGCCTATTTACTTCAAAAGTTGTTGCAATACACATCTCAAAGGGCCTGTTTCCAGTAATGTTAATTCTCCATAGGAGCCTGCCCCCGTATAATTTCTTATCTAGCTCAACTACTGTTTTTTTCTTTTCCGAAAAATAATTTTATACCTTTCCGACACCCAGATTTCATAATTTCAGTGAAAATGTATTTCTATAAAGTTGTCAATTTCAGCATCAAAGACATAAGTACATAAATAAAAGAAGGTTATCTCGAAATTGTAATTCGCAACATAGTATAAATTTCTTTTGATAAATATTTCCAAAACATCGTTTTTATTCATAAAACATAAAAAAAATATTCTCGGATGAAAATGCACTTGCAGAGACACAATTATGAAAAAAATGCCATAAATTTGCAATTTTCTCCTGTTATATAGTTTTGGATGCAAATTTCCATCAGAAAATCGGATAGAGCTTTACTTGTTTTATATGTGTACCAAAAATCAGTTAATTCCATGTGGTGGAACGTTCTCATATCGCCGCCTGAATGTGGTTGTAAATTGAAAGAAAAGGGGAAATGAGTAATAACCTTGTCTGAAACCCTATTATATAGCTTATTATATACAAACTTTTATATTGAATATCAGAGCGGATATTTTCATGACAGTTTTATGATGTGTAACGACTAAATAAATAGTATCGATATAAAGATTTACACCGAGGACACCCTGATACATGAATACTGTTCTATCCCAAGCTGTCCTCTTCTGAATTTTCTGATCGTGTGGCCTTGTACATTTATCCGTATCTTCTTGTCTTTGTCTATACGTTTACGAAATCATTCACTCGACGCTAGCTATTCTTGTCTCAATTTCCTTGTTTTATTGTCCCATCTCCAAAGCGTTGTGGCTCTGTCAGGGTTGGGACCCTGACTTGTCTCACTTTCTTTGTGCCTGCCGACCACGCCACATCGAATAAATAGATTATCCATATGAAATACTTTATTTTGTTCTAAGTAATCAATCAATTCTGCGCTTCTTGGAGGTATTGAATGTGATTTATTATATTGTCTTGTTATTTTGTGTAATTAATTGTTCGTTATTTATCACACATTTTCGCATAATTGTACCAAACTACTAAGTATTAGCTGTTTACAGCAATCATCGGTGGCTTGCTATTTTGTTTCTTTATCGACGCTTCATAAACCAATCGTTATTGTTTCAAGATGGAGGGTAAATGTGTTGGAGAAGAGTGTCAAGTATACTTCAAGAAACGTAGTGGCAATAAGAACAGAAGTGCACGC